AATATATCCAGTCACAAAAGTTTCTCCTCTCAACCAGTCTTTGTGTCGTAGATTAACTGGACCAGTCACACTCCACCAGTTAGGTCGAGGAAGAAGAGGAAAAAAAAATCAACTTTACAAGACTGAGAATTCGGTTCTCTTCATCTTGACGCGTGTCGCTACTCTAGACGTCTTCAGGACAAGGAAAGAGAGGGGAGGAGAGGGGAGAGGGGAGAGGGGAGGGAGAGAGAAATAGGGGAGACAAGAGACAAGGAGAGAGACGGAAGATATTCTCATTGATGTAGATGGGGAAAGGAAGGAGATGAGGGGAGGGGAGATTAGGGAGGGGAGATGAGAGAGAGTGGGGAGATGAGGGGAGTGGGGAGATGAGAGGAATGGGAATATGAGAGTAGAGAGTGAGAGACAAAGGAGACAGGGGAGTGGGAAGATGAGAGTAGAGAGTGAGAGACAACTTCCCTTTAATTTTTTTTAAAGTTTGGTGTTTGGTGGCGACACAGCTGGTGGGCTCTCGACAGGTGGTTCAGACCTCAACACATTGACCCTCAGATGGCGCTCACAGCATAGGTGGAACTGTGTGTGTGTGTGTGTGTGTGTGTGTGTGTGTGTGTGTGTGTGTCAGGCCATCTGCTTCTCCAACCATCTGTCTTTGAAGGGTGACATGATAGAAGGTTAGATTGAGGTCCTTGGAGTGGGTGGATGGGTGGGTGGGTGGGTGGGTGGGTGGATGGATGGGTGGGTGGATGGATGGATGGGTGGATGGGTTTAAGTTGTTGCTTACTGAATTTTTGTCTGTTTTTTCGTTTACTTAACTCTCTCTCTCTCTCTCTCTCTCTCTCTCTCTCTCTCTCTCTCTCATTTTTTGTAACATACATACATAAATACCCTGTACACACACACACATACACACATACACACATACACACACACACACACACACACACACACTGAACCACATGTAAACAGAGGGGATAATTTTACCTGCCACACTTTATCATACCGTAACGCGCAACACCTCCCCAAATACACAGAAATACGTGTGTGTATATATTCCTCTATGACCCACAGGCTATGTATATACCTGGTACGTATATTTCCCCTTGTATATTCCTGGTGTAGTGTGTGGGTCATCACCGGTCAGGGAGATATAAGGAGAGACAGAGAAATGAATTCGTGGGTGTTAATGCGTGTGTGGGTCGTACTTGTGGCGTTCTCTCTCTGTCTCTCTGTCTCTCTGTCTCTTTGCTTCTCATCCCGTGTGTGTTGGGTGTCACTGATGCATGTATACTGAAGGAGGAGGAAGAGGAGGGGGCGAGGTAGAGAAAGGGTGAGGAGGAAGAGAGAGGGGCGAGGTAGAGAAGGTGAGGAGGAGGGGGAGGGGGCGAGGTAGAGAAAGGGTGAGGAGGAAGAGGAGGGGGCGAGGTAGAGAAAGGGTGAGAAGGGAAAAGAGGGGAACGGGGAGAGAAAGAGAGAGGTGGGAGAGGGTGAGGAGGAGGTGGAGGAGGAAGAAAAGTAAAAACATAAAAAAAAATAATAATAATAAAATAAATAAATAAAAATCGACCAAAATAAATAAAAGAAAAAAATAAATAAAAAAGTCAAACAAAGGCAAAAAAAAAGTAAAAAAGAAAAAACAACAAATTAAAAAAAATAAAGAGAAAACGAAAAAACATTAAACAAATAAACAGTTGTGTTTTTTGGGTGTTAGTAGCGTTAATTAATACAGGTGAGGGTAAGATTACACCTGGTAATATAATAATCTCTTCCTTGGTTTCTCTTCCTTACTTTCTCTTCCTTACTTTCTCCTCCTTACTTTCCCTCATATAATAATTTCTTTTATTATCTTTCTCTCTATTTCCTCTTTATTCTTTCTTCTTTTATCTCTCTCTCTCTCTCTCTCTCTCTCTCTCTCTCTCTCTGTTTACACTGGTCGGCCATGGTGTTTGCGTCTCGCCCGCTATGTGTATGCAGTACATGTCTGGTTTGTTTATACACAAGAAAATTATAGAAGACAGATACAGACAGACAGACAGACAGACGGACAGTGAGAGAGAGAGGGTAAGAGAGAGAGAGAGAGAGAGAAGAGCGTCCGTTGTCGGTTCAGAACACTACGTACATTCCCTAAAATCAATGACATCATCTAAGGACCGTACTTACCCATCCACGGACCGTACTTACCCATCTATGGACAGTACTTACCCACCTACAGACAGTACTTACCCATCTACAGACAGTACTTACCCATCTATGGACAGTACTTACCCACCTACAAACAGTACTTACCCACCTACGGACAGTACTTACCCATCCACGGACAGTACTTACCCATCTACCAGGGGAGTGTCCTTGAGGAGGTGAGTGACGACATCAAGTCTGTCTTGGAGGCCAGCGCTGGGATCGACTCTTAAGGCAAGGGGTACTGTCACACCCACGCCTCCCACGCCCGCTAGTACCAACACCAGACACACGCCTCCCCATACGTGTGCTGGTACCTCCACGCCTGCTGTGAGAGAAAGAGAGAGAGAGAGAATGAGAGATAGAGATAGAGAGAGAGAGAGAGAGACAGACAGACAGACAGACAGACATAAATAAAGAGAAAAGAGAAAAGAGAGAGAGAGAGAGAGAGAGAGAGAGAGAGAGAGAGAGAGAGAGAGAGAGAGAGAGACAGACAGACAGACAGACAGACAGATGACAGGACAGACAAATAAAGAGAAAGAGAGAGAGACTGAGAGACAGAGAGAGAGAGAGAGAGGAGAGACATGACAGACAGACAGACAGACAGACAGACAGACAGACAGACAAGACAGACAGACAGAGACAAATTGGTGACAGACAGACAGACATAAATAAAAGAGAAAGAGAGAATGAGAGAGAGAGAGAGGAGAGAGAGAGAGAGAGAGAGAGAGAGAGAGAGAGAGAGAGAGAGACAGACAGACAGACAGACAGACAGACAGACAGACAGACAGACAGAGACAAACAGACAGACAGACATAAATAAAGAGAAAAGAGAGAGAGAAATTCCTCAGCGCCATAGTTATCCTCTAACTCATTTACCGCCCTGGAGGATTACATGGAGATTAACGACCCTAAATCCCCATCGATCTTGTTAATAAGACCTTGAACTCTTAGAGGGATTACAATCTAGTAATCCTAGTATAATTAATCCTAGAGGCGTATAATTAATCCTAGAGGTGTATAATTAATCCTAGAGGCGTATAATTAATCCTAGAGGTGTATAATTAATCCTAGAGGTGTATAATTAATCCTAGAGGCGTATAATTAATCCTAGAGGTGTATAATTAATCCTAGAGGCGTATAATTAATCCTAGAGGCGTATAATTAATCCTAGAGGTGTATAATTAATCGTAGAGGCGTATAATTAATCCTAGAGGCGTATAATTAATCCTAGAGCCGTATAATTAATCCTAGAGGCGTATAATTAATCCTAAAGGTGTATAATTAATCCTAGAGGCGTATAATTAATCCTAAAGGCGTATAATTAATCCTAGAAGCGTGTAATTAATTCTAGGGGTGTACAATTAATCCTGGAGGCGAATAATTAATTCTAGAGGCGTATAATTTATCCTGGGCACTTAATATGCTTGTAATCCTGACTTTAAATTAATTGTAATCCGAATGGCGCGATAATAATCCTACGGGTTGTTTTTGCATGAGGTGACAAGGATTAATCTGGCTATTGGTGATTAATAACGTGTGGTAGTGCATAATAATCCACCATTAATCCTGTAATCCTGCCTCAAATTTCCTATAATGTTATGGTAATCCTAAAATAAATCCTATAATATCCTATGACAACGTTGTAATTTTTAGGCCATGTAAACAAAATACCCAACCAATCAGCATCGACAAAAACAAACAGCTCGGCCAATCAGCGTCTATATAAACAATCCGACCAGCCAATCAGCGTCAATATAAACAATCCGACCAGCCAATCAGCGTCAATATAAACAATCCGACCAGCCAATCAGCCATAAGGAAAATATATCTTCTGTCCAATCGGCACACGGGGAAAAAATTAAAAATCTATCGTGGTGACATGACTCACCTGGCCCAGTGAGAGAGAGAGAGAGAGAGAGAGAGAGAGAGAGAGAGAGAGAGAGAGAGAGCGTTCCAGAGCTCCTTCACAGTACCGCACCCAAAACACATATCTCGCGCGCACGCGCACACACACACACACACACACACACACACACACACACACACACACACACCTGTTCAATCTCTAATTAATACAATTTCATGTAACTCATAGCGATAGTGAGTTACCTGAGTGAGTAACAACTGACGCGTTCCTCGAGTGAGTTACGAGTGACGGATTACGGAGTGAATTACGAGTGACGAGGTACTGACTGAGTTACGAGTGACGAGTTACAGACTGAGTTACTAGTGACGGTAACTAGTTGTGACGGGAGATGTGTTATATTGAGTTAAGGAAGAAAATTGGATTAATATTGAATGAAACTTGGCGACTCTCCTTCCATCTCCTTCCTCTTCTTCTCCTTCTTCCTCCTTCTCCTCCTCCTTCTCCTCCTCCTCCTCCTCCTCCTCCATGGGGAGAAGGGAAGGGGTCGGAGGAATGGGAAAGAGAGGAGAAGAGAGAGAAAGATGGAGAAGAAAGTGGAGGCGGAGAAAAGAGGAAGAATTAAGAATGTGGGAAGAACAAGAAGAACAAGAAGAAGGAGGAAGTGAAGAAGAAGAAGAAGAAGAAGAAGAAGAAGGAGGAGAGGAAGGAAGCATACAAGACAGAGAGACAGAGAGAGAAAGATGGGGGAAGGAAGAGGCGGAGGGAAAACACGAGCTAGACAAATGGGAGACGTCAAGAGACCTCGATAAAACTAGGAAGAGGGAGACACAGGGAGAATAAATGAGAACCGGCAACCACCTGTGTTATTATACCTTTTATGGGAGAGAGATAGAGAGATAGAGATAGAGATAGATGGAGGAAGAGGAAGATGGAGGAAGGGAGAATGGATTGATGTCAAGTGTCAAGTGCCAAGTGTCAAGTATCAAGTGCCAAGTATCAAGTGCCAAGTATCAAGTGCCAGATTCAAGTGTCAAGTATCAAGTGTCAAGTATCAAGTGCCAAGTGTCAAGTATCAAGTGCCAAGTATCAAGTGCCAGATTCAAGTGTCAAGTATCAAGTGTCAAGTATCAAGTGCCAAGAATCAAGTGCCAGATTCAAGTGTCAAGTATCAAGTGCCAGATTCAAGTGTCAAGTGCCAAGTGCCAGATTCAAGTGTCAAGTATCAAGTGCCAGATTCAAGTGTCAAGTGCCAAGTGCCAGATTCAAGTGTCAAGTATCAAGTGCCAGATTCAAGTGTCAAGTGCCAGATTCAAGAGATCACTTGTAGAGATCTAGTTTCAAGAGACAAAGTGTTGGAGATGTGAAGTGTGTAATGATCTGCTTACTGGGGTCTCTCTCTCTCTCTCTCTCTCTCTCTCTTTCTCTCTCTCAAGGTACCTCAACACCACCTGAACACCCCCTCAGCCCCACCTAAACACCACCTCAACACCACCTCAGCACCTCCTCAGCCCCACCTCAACAACCACCTCAACACCACTTCAACACCACCTCAGCACCACCTCAACCCCACCTCAGAGTTGCCCAGGAGTTAAATATCTTGTTTACATTCAAGAGCAAGATGCCTGAAGCAGTGTTGCCAACTCTGTTCTACTGCCTCCTCTTACACCACGACCCCTCCAGTGTTGTGAGGGGGAGGGAGGGAGGGAAGGAGGAAGGGAGGGAATCAGTACAAGAGGGAATGAGAGAGGGAGGAGAGGAGGGAAGGAGAGAGGGTTGACAGAAAAGGTGAAGAGCAGAAGAGGGGAATGAGAAGAGGGAAGGAGGCAGGGAAGAAGGTAGGGAAGGAATAAGGAGAGGAGGCAGGGAGGGAAGGAGGAAGGTCAGGGAGGTAAAGTCATCGTAATCAGTAAACGGCCTCTTTAGTCATGTTAATTGTAAACAGCGAGTCTTGCCAGTAGTTGACAGCCCCCTCCTCGCTTACTGTACCTCCTGTAACCTTAATTCTCTCTCTCTCTCTCCATCAGCCAAGGTAAGAATGCACCAGTTAGCTTCTGTTACGAATACTTGCAATGACTATATTTTATTTTCACCAGCCAACCTTGTAGATCTAACTAACTTTTGTAGTAAAACTATTCATATTTTCTACTAAAGTTAGATATATTTTACACTGCAACAGCTATATTTTGTAGTGAGGATATTAATATTTACTTATATTTTACACTTTTTCGAATATGTTGTACGTGTGCCCGTTTCATCACTCCTTTGTTTACATCTTGGTGAGGCCTATGGCTGTCGCGCCCTGGTGGTGATTTTCATATCGGAGTGAATCACCTTCATCCAGAAAGCTACCTGGCTGTTGATAGCTTAATACGGAAGCTTTTACTCCTTCATCTTTAACTAAATAATAATGGGAGTGATTAAAAAGCTAAATATTACTTATTATTTAACGATGTGAGGAAAACGTCGACGCGATTTTGCTTTTAAGGATTTTTTGAAGTTATATAATGATAATAAAAGAAAAGGGTGATATTCTCTCTCTCTCTCTCTCTCTCTCTCTCTCTCTCTCTCTCTCTCTCTCTCTCTCTTTGAGTATATAATAACATATTTTACGAGTATATAAACATATTCTCTATACACCCGCTCGTATACCCAGTCGCGGAGAGGACACCATAAATTCCTACACATTCTTTTAATATCCGACACTAAATTCACCATCTGGCTGACCACCGACTCAAATTAACTTCAAGTACAAGTTATAACACAACACACGAGTGCCAATATACCTAAAAATGGTAAAAAAATAATACACACACACACGCACGCAAGCACACACACACACACACACACTATACTGTATAGCCACCCACGCCTACCAACCATACCACCATTACACTGATATACATGATATTGGCTTCTGTGACCGGGAGGGTTTGTACCTGGTCGTGTCATCGGGGAGGGATGGGGGTAGGGGTGTGGAGGGGAAGGAGGGTGTGGAGGGAAGGGGGGGTGTGGAGGGGGAAGGAGGGGGTGGGTGGGGGTGAGTGAGGGGCGTTCAATTCATATATGAACCTTTTTTTTTCACGGTTTGTCTATGTATAAGTTTGTTTATTCATTAATTTATTCATTATTTATTCATTTTATTTTACGATACAACTTTTTTGTCATAATCTCTCTCTCTCTCTCTCTCTCTGCTGGAAATCTCTACAAGGAGGTCAATCCGGTCTTGTTTAAATCAGGCTCGAGGATTTAATTTGGAAAACGTCCGGATTTTGAGACGAGAATCAGATTATGTCAGTGTTCTTGTTGACACAGATTTGAGGAGAGGAGGAGGAGGGAGAGGAAGAAGAAGAGGAGGAGGAGGAGGGGGAGGAAGAAGAAGAGGAGGAGGAGGAGGAGAGGAAGAAGAAGAAGAGGAGGAGAGGAGGAGAGAAGAAGTAAAGGAGGGAGGAGGGAGGAAG